ACCCAGCACCCGACCCGGCGTTCGCCAAAATCGCAGTCGTGAATGAGCCTAATGTTGTGCTCGGCCGCCTCGACAATGCGAGATACCTTCTATGAGGTTGCACACGTTTGATGGCGACGGGGAAGGTAACGTCGATGCCATGGGAAACATGGTGGTCGAGGTGAAAAGAGCGGGAAGGCAAGAAGAGATTGGGGTGGGACAATGAGGCGTCGTGCATCGAGGATAGACGCAGTGGTGTTGTGTAGATGGGTGGTGTGTTTGACACCTCCGCCGGGCATGGCGAGTGCCTAGGAAGCGGACGTGTCCCTCGAGCAAACAGACTCACGGCGAAACTCATGGGGGGTGGGCATGGGCACAAGAAGTGGCTGGAGGGTGGGCGCGCCCTGCTAGTCTGTCGAAGACATCTCAGCCGACACCTTGATCTCATCAACCGCAGCCACTGAGACTCCTGTGATAATTCCGAGCCGCTGAGTCAATTCCGAGTCATCAAAGCTTGAAAAAATCGGATCTCGATGAGTCAAAGCTTGTATTCAACTCAAATAAACTCTCAACTAGTGCCCCAGGCAACGTTAACACTAGCACCTGACAATTCAAAGTCAACAGTTCTCATCTCTACTATGCTCAACCACCAGATCACCAGTCTACCTCCTGATGGCACTCCCTATATCCCATCTGCTGCTGAAGCAATCTTCTATTATTATGGCCTACCATCTAAGCCACGCCTTATCGCCCGTTCTAGTTCGGATGTCTGGATGCAGCCAACAGGTGCTGAAGCCTACTTGGAACTCAAGGAGTTGACCCCTCTTGGTGTTCACCCTCTTGATACTGTCTGGGAGGATACTGTAGGTCCTGCTATTGATCTGTATTTCCAGGAAAAGGGGGTTCAGTGTACCAGCATGAACCCACTTCGCATTGGGATAGTTGGCCAATCTTCTCCTCCTGCCATTATTTTCATAGGAGTTAACCCCGGCTCTCTTTCTCATGAGCTTGGCATTGAGGTGGCTGTCCATTGTCGCAATATTCTCATCCAGAATGGCATAGATGACGTTCATGTCGAAATTCGTGACTCCGAGTTTACTCAAGCTGCAATGTTATACAAGCCTGCCATCAGCGCCAATCCTGCCGCCATGCTCCGTGAGCCGTTCTCTACGTCTCTTGGCCTCTCTATCTGCGGTGCAAAGACCACCAACTTTGAAGGAACTGGTGGTCTCTTCTTTGTCGACTCTGCCAAACCTGGCATCCTCTATCTCCTTACTGCTAGACATGTCTTGTTTCCCCCCAATAAGGAACAAAACAAGCTCTACAGGTATTGCAACAGCACTGGTGCGCCTCGCAGAAATGTCATGCTGTTGGGTGAAGCCACCTTCAATGCTCGACTTGAGGACATCAAGGCCGCAATCGATGGCAAGAACCACGTCATAGATACACTCAACATGCGTTTGAAACTCGCTAATGAGATGAAGAGTAAGGATGATGCTGCAGCAGAGCGGAGATCGATAAAGCTGAAGATGGATGAGGTAAACGAGGCGATCAAAGCGTTCGAGGACTTACTTGCCGACGTCGTCAGAGATTGGCAGGAGGAAGAAAACCGCATCATTGGCCATGTTGTCTTGTCACCACCCATTCGTCCCAACTATGGTAAAGATGGTTTTACCGAGGATTGGGCAGTTGTTGAGGTGCACCCCACGAAAATTGCCAGGCTGAACTTCATTGGCAACGCTATTGACCTTGGCTATGTTGAGATCAGCGAGCTTTTTGCATGGATGTACCCTCAAACTGCCAACCCAAGTTCATTCAAGTATCCTGGTGATCGTCTTCTGAAGTGTTTCGGGACCGTCACAGACCAGGAGATGTTCAAGCCTGATCCAAAGAACACAGACCACAACGACCCAGCCATCATGGTCCTGAAAAACGGCAACACGTCCAAATTCACCGTTGGCCGCCTAAACACCATCCGGGCTTTCGTTCGAGTATACGGTAATGGCATAGCAAATGAGATGTCGAAGGAGGTATGCGTATTGCCCCGTAACCCGAAATCTGGCCCATTCTCCGTGTGTGGAGACTCTGGGTCTGTGGTCATCGACGGTATCGGCAGGATTTGTGGCATACTCACCGGTGGAGTTCAAGGAACCACTGACGTCTCTGACTGCACCTTCATCACCTCCATCAACTTTCTCCTCAAACGCTTGGCAGCGTTTGGTATCAAGGCCAATATTTTCCCCTTGCCGACAGATCTCTAGATGCCATCTCCTCTTCAGATCCCCAAACCACTCATCCCTTCTCTGTACCTTATTGTTATTTATTATTCTTCTCCCTGTCCTTGTCCTTCCACCCGTTCCTTCTTCTACGACCTCACTTTTTCGGTTGCCCTTCACCCTCCTTCAAGTTGTGTCATGGCCTACCAGTGATCCACCGTCAGTTGGACTGGGTATTGTTTACTTCTTTCCATCAGCAAAATGCGAGAGTTAATATACGCCCAAACAGGTATTCATAAAGTATGGTGACGTACAGATATAGACGGATATGCTCAGAAATGCTCAGGACATGGATTGATCTTAGACCATACGTATCTTATCTGGATACGTCTATTCATATCAGAGTTGATAATTGCCGCTAGTGCAAATAGTCGTTCCCGCATTTTCGTGATGTCATGCGGTACTGGGGTTCATGCTGGTCGAGATGTGATTTCTTACATACTGCGAAGGACTTTCTCGTTTCATGTCTCAGAATTGAGTTGCAACGTTCATTGCATCCACGTCGACGTTCCAGACATGACCACTGCCTTGACAAGAGGCGACGTATAGGAACTTGCCATCGAATCGTTCGTTTTCATTTCAGACCAGGCCAACAATATGTGGAAATTGGTCTTATGTCTTCGCGAGACCATCATAAGATTAGGATCTCAGAACTCATTTGGGTTCGGGTGGGTACGGCGATAAATCACACAAGGTACAAATAGGAAGTGAACTAGCATTCCAAAAGGATATGTCCGATGTCACAACTATACGCTACATACATACGATAAAGTCCATGGGTAGGAAGTGGGAATCCATTCAATGGAGGATGGTGAAGCACATTAAGCAAGCACTGCAAACGCGGAGAAGACCACAAGCAGCGAGGAGAACGCAAGACCGAGCGCGGGTACAGATGCACCGAAAACTGCACCACTGGTGGTGTTGCTTGCGACCGCCTTGTTTGCCATCTGAGTGATCGACGACGGAGGGGCGCCGCCTGTAGTCGGAATCAGCCACAAGCCCCGCATTTGCAGCAACCAAAAGTATGAACACTTACTGGTGAAGTTCGCACCGCACTGGCCTGAAATCGTGCTGTTTCCGCCGCTCAGGAGACCCGGGAAGTTGGTGTTCACGATGTCGAGCGCCGCGCGGGTGCAGTTCGTGCATGTCACGTTGCTCGGCACGTCCGGAAGGCTGCCAGCAAGTGCCTTGGAGACGATCGACTGCACGTTAGACGCAGTGATAGGGCCGACATACTTCTGCACATTCGTGAGCGTCTCGGTGACACAGAGCGTGTTGCCGTCCGATGTGCTACAACGGTGCCGTACACATGAGCTCGTCTCCACAAGACGAGTAATCGACGCGCCACTTACTCAGCCAAACACACAACCTGGCGAACAGTGGGGTACGCCTCCTGCACGAGCTGAGTGAGCCGGCTTGCGTTTGCAGTGATACCGAGGCTCTGCAGGTCGGACGAACACCCGGATGAGACACTGTTCACAAGCGAGGCAAGCGTCGAGTTTGTGCACTCAGGCTGCGAGCAGAGGCCCGTGAGCCAGCTGTTGAGCGGGCTAATGAGCGACGAGTTGCTCCCAGCGACAACAAGCCCGGCGAGGGCCTCTGCGTTCAAGCAGCTGGATTCGGATGAGGTAACAACCGAGACCAGAGCTGACTGGCACTGCGAAGAAATGCTGCAAACGAATGGTCGGTCGATGCAGACAATAGGGGCACAAATACGACTCACGAAATTGCTGAGACGGTCTGTGCCGCGATGGCCACGAATGCTGCGAAAGCGACTTTCTTAGCTGACGAGAACATGATGGGAGGAATCTAGTTCTAAACGAGAGCACTGAAGACGGCGGAGAGCTAGGAGCAAGCAGGTCTTAGGGTACAGAAAGAAAGCGACTAAGACAGTCCTGCTGTGTGAGGGTGGGACTTGAAGAAACTTGCAACAATGGTGGAGATGAAAAGAGAGAGGAGAGCGCGGAAACAAACGCTTTATTGGCCATTGCGATGCGGACGGGTAGTGCTGACCGCGACGGATGTCCAACTTCTCCACAGCCGGGCTGCGGCCGTTGCCCAGGCCTCCGAGTCCTGGGCGCTTGGCACTGTATCGGCTACCCCCTATGTGGTTGCTGAATATGAATTCTCGATCACTCCCACTCGGTGTTGTCGACTTGGAAACCGAATTGTACTTTGAGTGTGCAATCGTGTCCGTGCTATAGGAAACTCATTGTATAGCGTCCAGGAAGTCCATCACCTGTGTGATAACTTGAGTTACGAGAAGATGAACACGGACCTGCGCCATCATTCCAACTACGACATCCGGCATGCACAGGGCGTGTTTAGAATGCATAGCCACCATGGTCGAATTTCACACTCCTAAGTACTTGCTGCGGCTACGTCTGGGTACTGTATTCTTAAGCGTGATTACAGCCCACCGTATGATCAGACGGACGCCACTGACATGATGCTTCGGCGCTTTTGTCTCGTAACAAGCTTAACGGGACCACCGTGGGTGTCGAAGACACGTCTGGGCACGAGTGGGCAAAACGCGGTGTCTGGCCGCCAAGCATGTACCAGACATGCGCCAAAAGAGATCGCATTTTAACCCGATTTTCTGAGCTCCAGCATTGGATATCGCATTCGGGTACCGACCATAGCAGACTGGTAGCCTCTGGTTAGCCCGCTTACCACGCTCTTTGCGTATAAAGTCCATCGGCCAGTTTCCGAGAATTCGACGTGTGTTCTACCGTCGAACCTCGTCAATTGCCCTCGGCAGACGTATCTCCTTTCAAACATTTCCAAAATTTGATCTACACACATTCCCCGGCCGATTCGATTTATTCCACGAGACTTCTTAGCAGTGTGTACGGGGATGAAAAGGGAACTTGAGGTAACCCGAGGAGTTGTAAATTCCATAGCCGGGTTCCATGTTGTCGGAATAAATGTGTGCGAACCAGCCTACGCCGCCACCTTCGACCTCCTTCAGGAACTCACACTTGGAGTCAAGCAGTTCAAAATACGCCTGTAAGGACGTGCACGTGTATATGAAAAGCTCGTCTCGATGAGCATCCTGGCGCACAGAAATGGCGCACCTGCTCGTTCGGTATATTGGCTACCGCATACGGGCTGTTGGGCTGAACACTCGGGGATGTGACAGATGGCCAGCCGTTCTTTGTACAAGGCACCATGGTGTATATATAAGGGAAGATCTCCCGGGGGCAAGCGAACATACCTCGTCAAAGTACATCTTCTTTCCATTTCCGTGCTCAATGAAGAAGTCTAGGTTTTTATCCACCACGATCGGCCACGAGGCGTTCGCTACGGGCGGCAACCCGAGTCATCAGTCCAACCACACCAAGACAGGAAATCCACACACCAGTTGATGCATTCTGGTCAAAGAATGGCAGCATGTGGATATTGATGAAATCGATTGCGTCTAGGACGTCCTGTGCGCCACCGCGTTCTTCGTAACCATACGCGAGTTCGCTGACTGTGACAGGGATTCCGACGCTCGAGAGGTTAGCTCGTGCGAGGAGCACCTGATGCGCCAGTGCTTGATGCGGGAGAACGTTATCGTACAGTGGCTCGGAGCCAAACTGCACACCGCGAGTGACGAACTTAGCCCGCGGGTTTGCATGCAGCGTTGCAAGCAATGTATCCCTCCTTGTCTTCCAGATGTCACCGCCCGTGAATCCAAACTACGCGCACGAGGGATATTCAGGTGTTTGTAGAAATGGAGCACAGGAAAACAAAACCCACCCAGATAAGCGCATGAACGCCAAGCCCGTTGTCCCAGGCTGCATCCACGATGTCGTCACTGGCGAGATAATCAGACTGCATCCATTGGGCGTGAAACTGAAGGCGCACTAAAATCCTTCGCGATCACATGCGCCATATAGCCGCACGTACCGCGAGTTAAAATGCTGCCGGATATCAGCAAATTCGGAGTGTAGCTGTTCCGAATCTTGGCCTATACAGTGACATACGGTATATAAGACGACCTAGTGAATTGAGGTAGAGATGTACATACACGCAGTGACTTCGTAGCTGAAGCCGACGAACGCATACTCTTTGCTAGGATCGCACCACCAGAATGAGAGCGCATCGTCGGGTAGAAGTATTGGTGGCATCACGAACCCCAGCGCAGGGAAGCAGAATGGGGCTGGCAGCGCCTCTGTCGCAGTAGTTCTGCGCTTCAGGCTGTCACGAGTTGAATCGTCACCTCCTGAGAAAGGATGCGCGATAAGAGGCAGCACGAGAGTGAGGAGATATGAGGACAAAAACATCGGTACCGCCAGCTGCAGCGATATGTTGCGCCGAGGTTGTTTACCAGGTAATCGAACTCGCCGAAGTGTGAGTCACGTATGGATGAAGCTACCTGCAGCTGAGGCCTATATACCACTGGTGCCATACACGGACTCTTTACCCTCAAGATCTGGTGCGGAGAGGTGCAAATTCACGAGTCTAGGGCCGAAAGAAGACCATATCGTTCCCGAGTGATCGCGCAGCTGACCGTACATCGTAGAGGTTCTGGAGTTCTGGAAGGCATGGCTGACACAGTTGTGCGAACGTTGTGCGAAGACATACGAATGAAGACTGCCAAGATGGTCGGAATCGAGATGACCCTGGAGTGGTGAGCCATGTGGGGCCGGAAAGTTTGATATGGTCGTAAAGAATGTTATGTTGTCAGTGAGCACATGAGGGCAGTCGGTTTGGCTGTTCGCGGGACAATTGGCTAGAAGCAGACAAGAGCAGAACGGACTTGGGCAGTGCTTCGCGTATACATATAACTTGAATATAATTCCACCGGTGAGGAGTTGGTGACAATAGACATACTTGCACTGCTGCGCTCATACCGTGCGCATTTTCATTCAACTTGATGCGTGCACGCACGAGGGTAGCTGAGGTTCAAAGCAGAGTGGAGACAAACCGGAGCACTATAAGTATCAGGAGGTCAAGTTCACCATCGGTCGGAGGAATTAGAGACCAACACGTGCTACACTCACAATCTGTGACGTTGAAGGCAGGCTTAGAACCGAAATGTTCATTGCAGACAACTTCAACGACGATCTCCCCAAAGAGACATGTTCCATCATATCTGTTGAATCTCTCTGAGTGGATAGAAAGCAAGGCTAGGGGATAATTCTTGACTCGGCACAGACGAATATACAAGGCAAATGTTAAAATATATCTTTTCAGATGCCTTGGTAGCTCGTACTCGGTCGACAAACCGGTTTAGCGGTCAATACTAGTAGCAGTCCGTCGTGGGTTGACCAGTCGGGCCCGGAGGACTGCAGGACAGTCTGCAGGACGCGGTGATTTCGGACTTCGAATTGTTTCTGGCTCCGCAAGATCAACGAAACTTGCGCTATGCGAGTCGGCATTGCTCAATTGCATACTACAAGAGATATCATCCAGTACGACTTTTCTGCGTCGACTCCGAGTGCTGAAGACATAGTGTGTTGTCGCATCTGTTGCAGTTGTTACTTTGATTGATGCGAGGGATCCACATCACTTTGAGGAAGGCGCAATCATCTCGGCTCAACCCCGTAGGGTGCCAGGGCAAGCTGGAGTTTATGGTTGTATCAACACATTCTTCTTTCCATACCTTTCGCCTTGTATCCATTTTCGACCTCTCGGAGCCACTGGGTTGATTTCAGGCTATGGCAGCATATTCATGATCATTTTTGCCTCGTGCGTATAGGTTGATATTGTAATGCAGCACACCAGCCTCTCCGGTGAGCCACAAGCGTGTTTTAATGGCCGATGCTCACATCTGGCTGTTTAGAGACAAGGGAGCCTTTCATGAGTTCCGCGGCTCTGTTATGTGATTGAAGTACCTCCACGGGTATCCGTGTCTATTTGGATCAGTTGTTTTTCATTATGTAGTGGAGGACACCATGAAGTTAATGAGGAGAATGGGGAACGAGTACTTCGTGAGTTGATTTTCGCGCTCAAAAATTTTCGTTGAGACAGACAACCTACCCTTGTAGCCTTTGAAACCAGCCGAACATCTGTTAAAGGCCTGGACGCACTGTTCTGAGTTTCGGAAGATGGCGCACACTGGTGCTGCTATCAACTACGACTCGGCTCAAAGGCATCTTCGGTAGCTCCGAACTGGTATGTCTATCTATGCAATTATAGGTGAGCGAGGCCACTCTTGAACCTTAGGGATTGCCTGGTCAGCGAGTGAAGTTCGCGACGGGCATCTTCGTAGGTAATATCTGGCATAGATTTTGCATATATCTACTTCCATTTCATGATTATTACGTACATGCCTGAATCTCCTAGTAGCGTGGTGATGAAGAAATAAGCTGACGTCGATATTTGATGCGAGCTGTTATATGCATCGTTGGTGGTGGACTATTCCGTGGACACCTCCAGTTAGGAGATGTCTGAACCGCGGTCACAAGATACGCGTTGGTGTCTTTGACAGATTTGAGTTCGGCACGCGATCGCTGATATCTAGCTCTCAGGTTTTCCTCGAAAGTCACGTATACGGGTCTCTTATATTCCTACCCATCTCAAAACCTGCTCAAAGGAACTAAGATCCACCGCAAAGACAGTAGCGCACCTTGTGGCTCAGACTGGGTACTATGCCATGGACACGTGAGCTATCATATCTTCCTGTCCTAGCCTGGCACCCATGAGAATCCAAAGGACACATCAGCAATATTAATAGCGAACCTTAAGAGCTCATACATATATGATACGGTTTCGTCCGCTCTGACACGAGAGCTGCTACTTTCTTTCTCTCCTTAGGTCCATGTTATAGACTGTTAGCTCTGCGACACTATCTGCTGTAAAGCATGCCCATTGCGTCAGTGAACGACGATAGATTCCAATTTTACTACGAAGACAGCGGTGTACCTCCTGGCTCGGATGATTACACTACCCTTGTGTTAGTACATGGCGCTGTCTACCACGGCGGTGAGTGATTGTAAAAGACAAGCTGCTAGGATATGCATTCTGATGATTGTGTGTGCAGCGATATTCCGCCCCATGTTCTACTTTGCTGCAGGCCACAATTTGCGCCTGGTTACTCTCAATTTTCGCGATAATCCCGGCTCGACACCCTATTCAGCTACCGAGCTCAATGCACTCAAAGACGGCGACATTGAAGCCCAGAAGGGTCAGATTCGAGAGCAGGGCTTGGAGTTGGCGGCATTTATTACATGGTTCATTCAAACAGAGGGAAACCTCCCAGTTGAGCCTTCTGAAAGAGGAGGACCTTTATCTGGAGGTATAGCTGTCCTCGGATGGTCCATGGGGAACCTCCCAGTGCTTTCCATGCTTGCACATGCCGATGAACTGCCCATAGAGACACAGCGTTTATTCGAGCAGTACCTGAGAGTACTATTATTGTTTGGTAAGATATATTTCGCATTTTGGCCTAGATCTTGAATATATTATTAACATTAACATTTGCTATTTTATGTCAAGACCCTCCTTATTTTGTCCTCGGGGGTCCAGGCCCACGCAGATCCAGACTTGTTGGCCTCTCAGGGAAAGGGCCCCCGGACGAAGTTGTAAAGACATTCACCCTTTGGGTGAACGGGTATTACGAACATTCTCCTGCAATGCTTTTATCGCTTGCAGAGATTGACGAAGTGCAGCTTGATGCTGGCGTATCAGAACAGTGGCTCCAGGATCCTCCTCATCAAACACCGACTATCTGTCGTATGACAGCTGCTCAACAAACGGAATGTACTAAGCCCTCCATCTTCAGCAGACTTCTTATCCCGCTATCCGATATGGATTCTGCGGTGTGCGACGAAAACGCGCGGCGCGCCCTAATGGATAAGACGATCTGGCCACATTTACGCCTCGAGTTTATTTGGTGCGACATGTCTCCCGGAGAGTGTATATATACCGCATGGTACATCCACAAGCTACTGGACGGACCTCAGTCTTCGGTGTGCCGAACAGTAAATGTGAGGAGAATGAATGGAGCGAACCATTTTGTAAGTTTGTCCAAGGCGAGTACTTCCTGTCTTAGTCTTAATGATATCCTATTGCTATTGTAGCCCCACTGGGATCAACCTGATGTTGTCCTCAAGATGTTCGCCGACTCGATCTCGATCTCGAAGTAGTGGCTGGTTGATCCCAAAGTCTCCCATGACGACTCCGTGTGAGATAGGTTGTTCCTGTGATATATAACGTTTATGCGGGTCCGTTTTGCATTCCTCATGTGCCACCACAATCCGTGACCAGATCGGAGCTGCGGTCACGAAAAGGCGACAATAGGCTTAGGAGCAAGGAACGCGCTGTATCACGGAGCGCTGATGCCACTTGCCTTGACAGTTCTGACTTTCACCTGCGACTAGTACGCCACTTAAGTGCTATACGGCAAGGATCCTCTGAATTGCGAGTGACTGCACAAATACGTTCGGTTTGATTACCCTCAATACTCCGTTGTCGCATTAACTTCCAACTCCAATGAATTCATGGTATAAATTAGTCACAAAACAAATGCTCAAGCAGATCCAGATGCGAAGTAACCTCCAGTCTATTACTAGTGCGTGAGTATATTGTCACTTCGCACGATTCATTCTACAGGCCACAGCCACTAGTACCATCTTGCCACAAGACGCTTCGCTGACGAATCCATGCTCCTATCGGACGCCTACGGCCCTTCATCCCTGAAAAAAGCACTTTGGTTGGTTTAGCCGTGCAGCAACTTGACTAATGGTTTCCTCTCGGATGTACAAATTGTTCCCCTTGATTGAAACATGCCATCTCCCCCAACCCCGCTGTCTTTGAAAGCAATGCCCCTTGTCTCAGTGTGCGACAATAGCATCCAACTCCAATATGAAGACAGTGGTGCACCTATTGGATCGGCACCCTATGTCACTCTTGTGCTAGTGCATGGTGCCATTTTCCATGGCGGTGAGTATTTCTCATGGTGACTTGAGTGATAACTCGATATTAATGTATAGCACAATAACTTGTTGATAGCAATCTTCCGTGCTATGTTGGTCAAGGCATCAGTTTACAATTTACGCATTGTTACTGTGAATCTTCGCAACTATCCCGGTTCCACACCTTACTCGGATAACGAGCTCAACGCACTCGGAGAGGGCCCTCGCGGCCAGAAGTCCATATTTCGGTCACAAGGTCTTGAGCTTGCGTCTTTCATCGAATCATTTATTCGTGCCGAGAACATACCGCCCGTTGTTTTCTCCGGAGAAGGAAAGTCAGTCTCAGGAGGGCTAGCTATGCTCGGATGGTCCATGGGGAATATCCCGACACTCAGTACGCTCGCGCACGCTGATGAATTATCAGCTGAGACTCAAGCAGTCTTTAATCAGTATTTACGGACGCTAATTCTGTTTGGTGAGAATCACCGGCTATTCATGCAACAAATTTGGCTTACATTTCATGTCTCCTCGACGCAGACCCACCGGACTTTGTCCTCGGCGCACCAGATTCGTACACATTTAGCCCTGCCTTTCTCGCTCAAGAACCGACTGACGAGGTTGCGGCGGAATTCATGCTTTGGGTCTCGAGTTATTACTCTCATTCCCCATCGCTCTTGTCGTCACTTGCAGAAGCAGACACGGCACAGCTAGTCGCTGGTACAGCGACAGAGTCAATCAAGGACCCGCCTCCTCATCACGCCCCCTCCCTCACTCGCATGTCTACGCTTGAGGTAACAGAATGTGCCGACCGGAAGGTTTTTGCCCCATTGGTCATGCCGCTTGGGGCTTCCGACCGGGAAGTATATGACGAGAACATACGTCGCGCCCTCTTTGACAAAACAATCTGCCCACATCTGAATGTTGAGTTCATCTGGTGCGACATGTCTCCCGAAATGTTTACGCACTCTATGTGGTATATGTACAAGCTGCAGGCGGAGGCTCGTCTGATGAATGGACGCACAATCAATCTTAGGAGACTGAAAGGGGCTAATCATTTCGTGAGCCTGCTATTCAAAACATTTCGATACTATGAGCTTGCTCACGAATGATATTTCTGCAGGCTCACTGGGACCAGCCCGAAGCTACTCTCAGATTTTTGGCGGACCTATTGTGATGTTACGCGAACATTGCCTAATCGCATGCATGGTGTAGCTGCATTTTCGGGATGGTAGGTAATTCAGGGCGGATTGTATAAGTATTACAGACTGCACATTCTTGGAATGAATAATTGCAATGGGTACGAACTGCATCTACCGAATGCACTATTCATCTCCCAGCGCTTTCGCAAATCCTCTGCGCGTTGGAGATGATTTCCTCCGAAATAAATAAATTTCGTCAGAGTCATACTTATATTCTGCGAGTCTTTCGAAATTAAAACAAATGTGAAACAGGAGAAGCCAAGATACATGCGGCAGCCCGCGGTGCTGTGCAGGCACCGGGTGGCGCGTGGCTCCGCGTCCCGACCTGGACTCCTGTGCTGTAGTCTCCGTTAACGTTAACGGCTTCGCTGAGCAGAGAACGGCTATCTTCTTTTCTGTCCATAGTCCACGTCATCTGGCCACTACGACGCCACTACAATATCCGCATTCGACATCATTGAGTCGTACCAGTAGCACGTTGAACAGGCGAGGTGAGTAAAAACACAACAAAAATGATGCCTATGTACTGGCGGATCACATAAACCCATGCCGACAACCGAACACATCAGTGTGTATTATGCCATAAGCTGGGAACGTCGATACTACTTATACAAGATCAAAGTCCCCCGCTACATCCCACTGATCACAGCGAGTTCCCTTCACCCATTGCCTGGTTCTCCTGAAAATGACCATAGACTTCACAAGGTTTGAGTGGAAGGTAGCCCCAGATGGTTCTTTCAGCCGCGAGGCCGCTGCCGGCGAGCTCATGGAAATTATCTGGAGGGGGCTTGATCTTGGGGACTACGTATTGATATTCACAGCGGAGCTCTCGTTCTCGAACGCGCTTCCACTTCCCGAGCTCCTCAAGTGTATGCGGGATGCATGGATGGCACTGCGGTTCGATGTGCCGACAATCGCTGCGCACACTGTGTACGACAACGATGGCAACATTCACATTGTCTACAAGCCTGTAGGGAGCGCGAACGAAGCCAAAGCGTGGGCTTCAAGCACCGTTCGTCTGCAGGAGGATTTTGCAGATGTCGAAGACTTCCGGCACTCGCTCTCATGCAAGCCCATCAGAGATGATAATGGAGACCAGACGTTCTTGTACGTCTTGCCGCACCAAGCATCGAACAAGACGTGTAGCATCCTCCTACACACGTCGCATATAACATTCGACACCAAGGGGCTCCAGGCCGTGTTCACGCAATTCATGAAGAAGCTTGTCACATTCATGTCCACCCCTCCTCGCGAGCCGGGGCAAGAATTGGATTGGGGAACCGAAGCGCGGAATCTTCTCCCATCGCCCTACGGCATATTGTGCTCAGAAGAAATCCGTGAAGGACCCGTATACGACGGGACGTTCATGAGCGTGATCACTGACCTTGTGGAATCTAAGAAGGTGAGCCGATTTACTGCAAGTATGTGTCTGGATGCCAAACATACATCCGCCTCATCTTGGCAGCGTGAACATGGATTCAAGCCACGAATCTCAGGCCGTTTCCCTCTAGAAACCAAGAGGGCCACAGCGACCCTCACGGAAGCAGAAAGCCAGCGGCTTTTCGGCGCTGTGCGTAGCCTCGGCTTGACGGTCAACCACGTCTGCAAGTGCACAGATCGAACCTTCCTCTCGACCTGTACTGATACGCATATCAGGTCATGCGGCCGTCACCCTAGTCTGCGCAGAAGACAACCCTGTGCCTGAAGACAAACGCGAGACCGCCGTGTTCGCATATTCACAGATGATGGACACCCGCCCACGCCTGCGGCAGCCATACAATGAGCGCGACCAGTACCCAGGCTTCTGCCTCGGCGTTTCCCCTCTCCTCATTCCAGCTTCTGTTGTATACGATCCTGCGGTCAATGACACTAAAGGCCGCCTCCTCCGCGTCGCACATGCCACGAAAGACGAGTACTTGAGACAGAAGGCATACAAATCGCTCTTGGCGATCAGCCCAGCGTCGACAGAAGTAATGATCAATGCCTTCAGGCAGAACACACCGTAGGGTATTTTCGCCAAGAGATAGCCGAGCCTGCTAAAGAGGCGTTATTAGGACAAGTTTTGTAGCAGTACCATGGTACTCTGGTGACGGCAGGGGGGAATTGTACCTGGATCCCACGTACCCAGATTCCAACGGGAGCACACTGGTGGAGATCACCAGTTTCGTTACCTCCGTCAACAAGTTTGACCCCGGACCGTAAATATTTATCGTCTCCATGCGTTCGTTCTGCTAATTAGATATTGTCGAGCAGATTTTTCCGCGTATGGTCGTGGAGAGATCGTCTTACGATTAGCGCGGACTATAACCCACGCTCAATGCCTCAGGATATCGTAGAAGGGTTTGTGAAACGATGGGTAGAGTTGGTGTCTCTCCTAATTCATGATCATACCGCTGGCGAGGATCCATAGATAGCGTTATTCATGAATTTGACATTGCATTGTTGTACAAATTACTAACTGATTATGAGTTCGTGAGGCACCGCGCCCCGATCCACGCTTACCCGAATGCATTTAAACAACTTCGAAGCATTGTTTCCGGCTCATCCCATTGCGTCTGCCCGTTGGGTTCCACAATCAAAGGCGGCATCACGATATGGCAAATTCACTCACGAAGTGATTCCCACCCTTAATCCATTCCGTGTGCAAGAATCCTCCTCCACGCGCCCAGTCCTCATCTTCCAGGGCCCAAACACTGGGGAAGATTGACGCCCACGAATTTTCCCCTATTATGACGTACACCCTCATGCGAGGTAGAGTATTCCTCACGTCCTTGTCGAAGCACGCCTTGATGTGAGCAGCCATCAACTGTGCGCGAAGGTTGGTCATGACCATCAAGTCAGAGCCCGCTAAAGGCGGTAAGTGTACTATCTCGGCGACCTCGTCCTCATTCATGTTGTACGCGGTCGGCACGCGTATAAGTGAGGGAGCGGCGTATTACAGGAGATCTGGGTCGCGTTTAGACAGGTCTCCGTGTTTGAAATAAGCGGAGACGCAGATGAGCCACATGTCGTGCCGCTCTTCGGCTGGAATGGTGATATCCAGGATTGGCATCCAGTGTTTAGGAAGGTTTGGGCGGCCCAGAGCTGACATGGGGGGCTCTAGATAGACAGGATCACGACAGAGACTCAAGTGCAGCGCATACAGACTTACCATGGATGATGAGCACCCGAAGGTAATCTTTGATAAAATGTTGCGATCCGACGGGGAGTGAGTGTATGGTTGATATGGTTGAAAGAGTGAAGGCGTTGCCTAGAGACCATCCCATGAGCCCAACCCCACCGGATCTTCCGCCATTTGAGAGGGGCGGAGGATTGTACTGCTTGATAAAGCGAATGATAAAGGACCATATTTCTAAGGCTCTAGCTGAGAGGAACGATGATTTCTCGTCGTCGGTACCAACGAGTGCAGCCTGATCCAGGGGAGACAGTGGCGAAGAACCAGGATAATCGCGCCGGTTGATAGCTACAACACGCAATCCGTGCTCTGGAGCCTTCGCAATTAGCCTTCTATAGACAGCTGTAGACGGAAATGCGTCATGCTAAGATGAACTCGACGGGACAAATGGAGACAACTGACCAGCTGTGAAGCCCAATCCATGCAATATGAATACGGTCTGATACGTCGCCGCGTCGGTCTTCGGAGGGCCTCTGTCGATGTAGGCAAGCTGCGTACCGTTGTCATCCACGACGAGGGACTGCATCGCTGCATATAATTGAGGGGGGAGACAATCAGCGAGATCAGAGGGCCTCGGCGTCTCACAGGACACAGGACAGCCTAAAGCCAAGCCAGGAAGCGGTCTAATCCTTGGACATCTTTTGGTGACCTGGAATCTATACCGAACATAGGTCTCCATCCTCTTCGTCTATGACGATTATTGACATCGCGTATTGGCCATATCTCGTAACGGCGCCTCCAGCCTGCGAGAGTGGGAAGTCATGAAGGAACCATAGAGACAGTTCAGGTATAAGAGAGCGAGATACACAGATACCCAGTGACTTTAGGCCAAGAGTCACATAGAGGATAGAACTGCACCCGGCCGAATTTGACGGACAGAATTGAGCGAGCAAATCGTCTGAGCACCGTGTCGTAAGTATTCTGACTATCGCATGGGCAGAATGTTTTCGGAGCAAGCAAGGTCTGAACAAGACATGTGCGGATACAACAAAGGATTGACCGTCTTCTGGCGATGCGAAAGGCAAGGCCGGGAGAAAGGATCGGAAAGGTACCTTTCGAATGCCGTGAGCCTTTTCCTCCCGTGCAAAATGAGGCTGCTGGAAATTATTTAAATAAATAAATAAAGTCTTCTCTTCCTCCTCCTCGAACATGTCCTCGAACAGCGAGAGCGGAAAGCATATCCGCCTCCTGCGTACGCTCTCCGTCGCTCTCTGGGTGCTCACCGCCGGCGCCGCCTACCTGTTCTCATTTCTCCCGCTTTTTGACTCGTCTCCTCGCACCTTGCTGAATAGCGACCGCGTTCCACTGCTGCGCTGGGATGCGTTTTACTTTGCCCACATCGCTCAGGAAGGCTACGTGTACGAACACGAATGGGCATTCCTCCCTGGTGCCCCCATGACCATGCGGGCCATGGCATACGCGCTGGAGGCGGTCGGTTTGAAGAGGCTGTACGACTTCACGGACATTGAGTTTTTACTGCTGAGCGGTGCACTTGCTGCTTGTCTGGCCGGCAGTACGGTCACTCTCTATCGTCTGACCCTGCACCATCTCCAATCGCCGACAATTGCCCTAATTTCCTCCCTCCTGTCTCTGCTCCCTAGCAGCCCTGCAACGCTCCGGCTCGCCAGCTACAGCGAACCATTCGTCACGTACCTATCCTATCAAGGTGAGTTTGTGCTCTGACAGACATCGTGGCGGATGTTCTCTTCGTGTCTGATCGCTACGAAGGGATGCTATATTGCGCCAGGTCTCGGTGGCTCCTAGCGACGTGCTGCTTCAGCCTTGCCGCAATTTTCCGCTCAAACGGATTCATGCTTGGCGGATTCATTCTCTGGGGCCTGCTCATCGAGCCCTTCCTCGCTCGCAGACCCGTACGTCCGTCTCCCACTGACTTAACTCTGCTGAAACCGTGCTGTCTAGATCTCGCCCGTTAATCTGGCCTATGCGACCGCCCTGACGTCGGTCGTGCTCGCCCCATTCGTCGCATACCAATACGCCGCGTACCGCGCTTTCTGTGAGCTCCCAGCGACGCCCGCGCCGTGGTGCGCGCGCACCCCACCGGTCATCTACAGCTACGTCCAGGGCAAGTACTGGGACGTCGGCTTCCTGCGCTACTGGACACTACAGCAGCTCCCGAACTTTCTCATCGCGTCCCCCGTCCTCGCGCTGCTGCTCTCCTTCGCGTGGTTCTACCTCACCCGTGCGCTCTTCCCCCGCCTGCGTGCCCTCCTCGCCGGTTCCCCCAAGGCTGCGTCATCCCCCTCGTCGTCGCCGTTCCTCTCGCCCACGCTCGCGCCCCATGCGATCCACGCGCTTGTCTTGACCCTCGCCCTGCTTTTCGCCGCACACACGCAGATCGTCCTCCGGCTCGCAGCGTCCATGCCGTTCACGTACTGGGGAGCGGCATGGCTCGTAGTGGAGCACCCTCCGTGGGGACGGCGGTGGGTGGCTTGGAGCGTCGTGTGGGGCGCGGTGTCGCTGGTGCTTTGGACAACGTTTCTGCCACCTGCGTGACACGACTCTAGGCTTGTCTGCGAACGTGTGGTTCATGCTGCGACATGATGAAGCACCTTAGGATGGTGGCTTGATGCTAGACAAATCGAGGAACATACCCTGATTGAGGACACGGGGCCGTCGTCGTCGTTCTATCTCTTCAAGCGACATCCTCGCTGAAGTGTAGGACAGTACGCTTGCTGTGTCTGTGGACCTTCCTCCAGAAAAACCTAGAGTGGTTGGAGAACAAGAACAAGACGACAAGCGGGGAGATAAGATTGGTACCTAGGTAGTGTACAAACATATATGGCGGCCAAGAACAAGAACGGGGGGGATACAGTGTGGGTTCCAATATGAAGAATCGTAGCGGATAGCGTGGAAAGCGGACAGAGCGCGAGCGCGATGCAATGTTGTTACACAGCGGCTGGTACTATACCGGTAGATCGTGAAAAGGAGAGAAATAAATATGCAATACCCGCTTTCATTACATTGCTGGTGGAGTCCCGTCCTCGCTCAACTCTCCCTCCTCCTTCTCTTCTTTCTTCTCTTCTATCTTTATTTCGTGTTGTAGCGCCTGCGGGGGAGGCAGTTGTGGTTCCGCGGGAGCCACGACCATCTTCTCATCTTCAACCATCGGCCTGTTCTCCTGTTCCCCAGAAGCCTTGGGTGTAGACACGTCCAGCTCCTCCGCAGAGACGGCCGGCACATCGTCCTTCTCGCTCGGCGCGCGGCTCGCGGCGTCCTCCCGCATGCTTTCGCTCTCTACCTCTCCTTCCGCCTGCGCCTTCTCTCCGCCGCTGCTCGTGCGGTCAGACGCAGCATCCCGCTCTCGCGCCGCGCGCGCACTGCGCGTCGTGCGCGTGGTCACCGCGATCGACACCGACGCCGACGTCCCCGTCGACGCGCTCGCACTCGAGTTCCGCCGCCGGCTCGGTGCCGCACGCGACCTCCGCGAGCGCGCAGCACGCTTCGGCCCCGGCGGCGCGCTCGTGGGCCCAGCCGCTTCTTCTCCGTTCCCCGCGCCCTCCCTCGCCTCCACCTCCGCCTCTGCTTCTGCCTCCCCGCCGGCGTCGCCGTCCGCCATCGCGTCGGCGCTACCCACGGGCGCGGGCTCCGCGTCCATCGCGTCGTCATCGGGCGTGGCAACGGCTGCGCTGACAAGCGGGGACCCGACGAGCGGCGTCGCGTTGCCCGCCCCGCCCCGCGGGTTGCGCGTGC